TCTAGACCCTTCCAGAGCTGAGATATCAAAATTCAAAATTTCGACCCGAAAAAAAAACGACAGTGTTACCCCTTTCGTTTTTTTCATTTTCGGGCGAAAAATTAAGTTTCTCCAATCTTCTCAAAACTCTGGATTATGATAGAGGGCTGTGAGACTTTGACCTGAGTGCAAAAATGGAGGCTCTAGACCCTTCCAGAGCTGAGATATCAAAATTCAAAATTTCGACCCGAAAAAAAAACGACAGTGTTACCCCTTTTGTTTTTTTCCATTTTCGGGCGAAAAAAAAAGTTTCTCCAATCTTCTCAAAACTCTGGATTATGATAGAGGGCCACGAGACTTTGACCTGAGTGCAAAAATGGAGGCTCTAGACCCTTCCAGAGCTGAGATATCGAAATTCAAAATTTCGACCCGAAAAAAAAACGACAGTGTTACCCCTTTCGTTTTTTTTTTTCCGTTTTCGGGCGAAAAATTAAGTTTCTCCAATCTTCTCAAAACTCTGGATTATGATAGAGGGCCACGAGACTTTGACCTGAGTGCAAAAATGGAGGCTCTAGACCCTTCCAGAGCTGAGATATCGAAATTCAAAATTTCGACCCGAAAAAAAAAAACGACAGTGTTACCCCTTTCGTTTTTTTTCATTTTCGGGCGAAAAATTAAGTTTCTCCAATCTTCTCAAAACTCTGGATTATGATAGAGGGCTGTGAGACTTTGACCTGAGTGCAAAAATGGAGGCTCTAGACCCTTCCAGAGCTGAGATATCAAAATTCAAAATTTCGACCCGAAAAAAAAACGACAGTGTTACCCCTTTTGTTTTTTTCCATTTTCGGGCGAAAAATTAAGTTTCTCCAATCTTCTCAAAACTCTGGATTATGATAGAGGGCCACGAGACTTTGACCTGAGTGCAAAAATGGAGGCTCTAGACCCTTCCAGGGCTGAGATATCGAAATTCAAAATTTCGACCCGAAAAAAAAACGACAGTGTTACCCCTTTCGTTTTTTTTCATTTTCGGGCGAAAAATTAAGTTTCTCCAATCTTCTCAAAACTCTGGATTATGATAGAGGGCTGTGAGACTTTGACCTGAGTGCAAAAATGGAGGCTCTAGACCCTTCCAGAGCTGAGATATCAAAATTCAAAATTTCGACCCGAAAAAAAAAACGACAGTGTTACCCCTTTCGTTTTTTTTTTCATTTTCGGGCGAAAAATTAAGTTTCTCCAATCTTCTCAAAACTCTGGATTATGATAGAGGGCTGTGAGACTTTGACCTGAGTGCAAAAATGGAGGCTCTAGACCCTTCCAGAGCTGAGATATCAAAATTCAAAATTTCGACCCGAAAAAAAAAACGACAGTGTTACCCCTTTTGTTTTTTTCCATTTTCGGGCGAAAAATTAAGTTTCTCCAATCTTCTCAAAACTCTGGATTATGATAGAGGGCCACGAGACTTTGACCTGAGTGCAAAAATGGAGGCTCTAGACCCTTCCAGGGCTGAGATATCGAAATTCAAAATTTCGACCCGAAAAAAAACGACAGTGTTACCCCTTTTGTTTTTTTTCATTTTCGGGCGAAAAATTAAGTTTCTCCAATCTTCTCAAAACTCTGGATTATGATAGAGGGCCACGAGACTTTGACCTGAGTGCAAAAATGGAGGCTCTAGACCCTTCCAGAGCTGAGATATCGAAATTCAAAATTTCGACCCGAAAAAAAAACGACAGTGTTACCCCTTTTGTTTTTTTTTCATTTTTGGGCGAAAAATTAAGTTTCTCCAATCTTCTCAAAACTCTGGATTATGATAGAGGGCCACGAGACTTTGACCTGAGTGCAAAAATGGAGGCTCTAGACCCTTCCAGAGCTGAGATATCGAAATTCAAAATTTCGACCCGAAAAAAAAAACGACAGTGTTACCCCTTTTGTTTTTTTCATTTTCGGGCGAAAAATTAAGTTTCTCCAATCTTCTCAAAACTCTGGATTATGATAGAGGGCTGTGAGACTTTGACCTGAGTGCAAAAATGGAGGCTCTAGACCCTTCCAGAGCTGAGATATCGAAATTCAAAATTTCGACCCGAAAAAAAAACGACAGTGTTACCCCTTTCGTTTTTTTCCGTTTTCGGGCGAAAAATTAAGTTTCTCCAATCTTCTCAAAACTCTGGATTATGATAGAGGGCCACGAGACTTTGACCTGAGTGCAAAAATGGAGGCTCTAGACCCTTCCAGGGCTGAGATATCGAAATTCAAAATTTCGACCCGAAAAAAAAACGACAGTGTTACCCCTTTTGTTTTTTTTCATTTTCAGGCGAAAAATTAAGTTTCTCCAATCTTCTCAAAACTCTGGATTATGATAGAGGGCTGTGAGACTTTGACCTGAGTGCAAAAATGGAGGCTCTAGACCCTTCCAGAGCTGAGATATCAAAATTCAAAATTTCGACCCGAAAAAAAAACGACAGTGTTACCCCTTTCGTTTTTTTCCGTTTTCGGGCGAAAAATTAAGTTTCTCCAATCTTCTCAAAACTCTGGATTATGATAGAGGGCTGTGAGACTTTGACCTGAGTGCAAAAATGGAGGCTCTAGACCCTTCCAGAGCTGAGATATCAAAATTCAAAATTTCGACCCGAAAAAAAAACGACAGTGTTACCCCTTTCGTTTTTTTTTTCATTTTCGGGCGAAAAATTAAGTTTCTCCAATCTTCTCAAAACTCTGGATTATGATAGAGGGCTGTGAGACTTTGACCTGAGTGCAAAAATGGAGGCTCTAGACCCTTCCAGGGCTGAGATATCGAAATTCAAAATTTCGACCCGAAAAAAAAAACGACAGTGTTACCCCTTTTGTTTTTTTTCATTTTCGGGCGAAAAATTAAGTTTCTCCAATCTTCTCAAAACTCTGGATTATGATAGAGGGCCACGAGACTTTGACCTGAATGCAAAAATGGAGGCTCTAGACCCTTCCAGAGCTGAGATATCAAAATTCAAAATTTCGACCCGAAAAAAAAAAGACAGTGTTACCCCTTTCGTTTTTTTTCCGTTTTCGGGCGAAAAATTAAGTTTCTCCAATCTTCTCAAAACTCTGAATTATGATAGAGGGCTGTGAGACTTTGACCTGAGTGCAAAAATGGAGGCTCTAGACCCTTCCAGAGCTGAGATATCAAAATTCAAAATTTCGACCCGAAAAAAAAACGACAGTGTTACCCCTTTCGTTTTTTTTCTGTTTTCGGGCGAAAAATTAAGTTTCTCCAATCTTCTCAAAACTCTGGATTATGATAGAGGGCTGTGAGACTTTGACCTGAGTGCAAAAATGGAGGATCTAGACCCTTCCAGAGCTGAGATATCAAAATTCAAAATTTCGACCCGAAAAAAAAAAACGACAGTGTTACCCTTTCGTTTTTTTTTTTTTTTTCATTTTCGGGCGAAAAATTAAGTTTCTCCAATCTTCTCAAAAGTCTGGATTATGATAGAGGGCTGTGAGACTTTGACCTGAGTGCAAAAATTGAGGATCTAGACCCTTCCAGAGCTGAGATATCAAAATTCAAAATTTCGACCCGAAAAAAAAACGACAGTGTTACCCCTTTCGTTTTTTTCCGTTTTCGGGCGAAAAATTAAGTTTCTCCAATCTTCTCAAAACTCTGGATTATGATAGAGGGCTGTGAGACTTTGACCTGAGTGCAAAAATGGAGGCTCTAGACCCTTCCAGAGCTGAGATATCAAAATTCAAAATTTCGACCCGAAAAAAAAAACGACAGTGTTACCCCTGGGTTTTTTTTTTTGCGCGAAAAAATAAGTTTCTCCAATCTTCTTGAAACTCTGGATTCTGATAGAGGGCCATGGGACTTAGACCTGAGTGCAAAAATGGAGGCTCTAGACCCTTCCAGAGCTTATACGTGGGATCTCAATATCTCAGCTCTGGAAGGGTCTAGAGCCTCCATTTTTGCACTCAGGTAAAAGTCCCATGGCCCTCTATCAGAATCCAGAGTTTCAAGAAGATTGGAGAAACTTATTTTTTCGCAAAAAAAAAACAAAACAAAAAAAAAACGAAAGGGGTAACACTGTCGTTTTTTTTTCGGAGTCAAAATTTTGAGTTTCTCTGATCTTCTTGAAACTCTGGATTCTGATAGAGGGCCATGGGACTTAGACCTGAGTGCAAAAATGTAGGCTCTAGACCCTTCCAGAGCTGAGATATTGGGATATTTATAATGGCATAAATGCTACGTGGTATCTCAATATCTCAGCTCTGGAGTCTCGGCTAGTAGGCTATTGTGTGTGAGGATGTTGGAGGTGGAGATTTACACCTTTTCTCACAGCACTTGATATAATTAAACTTATCAATTTGATGGCGGATCCAGAAAGGTTCAAACGATAATTTTTTTCCTGGTGAAAATTCTCATGTGTCTCATACTTCCAAAAAGAATCTGTGAGTCTGAATGACAGAAACCACATCGGTGACAGACAGCCTCACAGTCTCCTCAAACATTGTGTTCGTCCGCGCTGTGCCGTGTCGAGGGTGTTGAAGTAGAACTCACGTAAAGTTGATAATTACGCAAATTACTGCAATTGCAGATTTCGAACAGAGATGGCGACTAAGAGGAAGAATGCCGGACTGCAGCTTTAATATACGCTACTGCAGAGCCGCAACGCTGATAAATGGAAAAGAAGGCCGGGTCTTGAGCAAAAGTAGCAATTCTTTTTTTTTTTTTAAAGTACTGATTCTTTTACAAAAAGTAGCAATTTTTGAAAAAAATTATTGTAAACAAAAATGTAATTATACATTTGTTAGTCTTATTAAACATTACAATGTAATTATATTTTTTTACTATGTGATTATACACTTATTACAATGTAATAATTATACATTTTTACAATATAATTATGTTTGATACAATGTAATTTTACAATTATTACAGTGTTATACATTTATAAAAATGTAATATTTTAGTGTTATTTATTACAATGTATATCAACATTTATTACAGTGTTATTATACATTTGTAAAATTATTATTATTATACATTTGTTGGATTATTATTTTGTTAAATTAGTCTTTTTGAAAAAGTAGCGATTCTTTTTGAAAAAGTAGCGATTAATTTGTGGAAAACAGCTACACTGTTTAATTCTGAATATTATATTTTATTCTGGTGCGCTTATCGTTTTCTCAGAGTTTAGGCTTCAGTGTAACAGTAGCCTAGACTATTCAGCAACTCAAACATACCAAACCAACAATTACCAAAAACAAACAAAAACAGATTTTGCACGGCCATTACACTAGTATACATAAAACTCATGATTCATGAGTGCCAAAATCTGTTGCTTGGCAACAGCAGCTCATGAAATGTTGCATTTGCGAAGGATCTTGCATTTCTGGCTTTTTATGACCTCAGCGGGGGAAGAAAATTGCGACAGAGATGCAGAAAGATAGAATAACTTCAAAGAGAACAAGAGACGGAAATGTGTATGAGTGTGTGTGGGGCAGGCAGTCAACTCTGCTTTCCTACAAACTATCTGATGGATCAAGCTGTGTTGCTACAGGCAACACACAGAGGGAGGGAACAGGGAATGATTAAGCAGTGATGGTTAAAAAAAAATTTCATTGCCTGAGCTGACATAGACATCTGTAGGGACGTCACGACAGAGAGGGGGAAAGAGAGGATGCTGAGTGGGCAGGAATACAGAGGGCGAGCATCCAATCGGCTGCGGCAAAGTCAGCGTGTCTTTGTCCAATAGAGTGTGACGAGGCTCCTCCAGTGTGAGCTAACAGCGCTGGTGGCTGGTGTCTTATTAATGAATGGAGCGTCTCACTTGCAGCAAAACGGTGCTTGAGCTCTCTCTCCCTCGACGGAGAAGGCAGCACAAACAGAATAGTAAGAGCACTTCGCACCTCGACAGAAAACAACTGCAGCAGCCGTGCGCAAATATGAACAAGCACCAGCATGAGGATGAGAACTCGGACAGCGATGCGGAGCAGGATTCTTCTCTACCGTCTACGATGGATGTCCACCCTTCTTCTTCCTCATCCAACCTCCTCCTGCCCTCATCTTCTCAGCGGAGATCCATCTCCATGGGGGACTTTCGGAGACTCCCTGCTGGACAGACAGGCTCCGAGCCCCCCTCTGCAAGTGCCACGGCACCCTCGTCCAAGCTGGTTACCCCCAGCTCAAGTATGGAGTTCGAGGCAGCTCGTCGACGCCTCCTGGAGGTGGAGGAGCGCCAGCGTGTCATCAGAGAGATGGAGAGACGACTGGAAGAGCTGAGGGAGGTGTTTGTGCGCTCCGAGCAGGAGGCGGTGGAACACGGGGAGCTGGTGGCGCGCATTACTGCTGCCGCCCAGCAGGGCGAACTATACGTGGCGGAAAACGGACAGCGGCTGAAAAAAGGATTGCGGTTTAAACGGCACAAACCCACCATTGTCTTCTCCTCCATGCTGGGGCTAAGAACGTGCCTCCCTTGGCCTGTCAAACTAAAATAGCGACTAAACAGCCGCTGCTTACTTGCAAGATGGTCCTTCACTGCTCACACGTCACAACTCAAACGCTATCTCCAGATACAAGGATGTCCAATTCTCATTTTCTACTCCCTGTTAGTCAGGAAATGCTGAAACGTCTGCTGTCTGTAAATATCGTCAACTGGGATCTTAGGTGGTGCTTAATTTGAGCCCATCGAAATGACGCTGGCCTCGTATTTGCTGCTTGAACCAACCAAGACGCTGGGGATTTGCTTTAATGTGTGTGAACTTTGCTGATGTTTAGAGCTCTGTGCATGCGTTACACTTCATGTCGCTTGCTGTGCGTGAACGTGAGAATGTCAGAGAGGAGACACAAGAGTGCTATTCATCCAGAAGAACTCACTTCTTCCAACTGCAGTAAGGTGAAGCGTTTAGGCTAAAGGTCTGTTCACACCAATAACAATACCTACAACTAACTATATATGTGCCCACACCAATGGATGTTAAAGGTACAGTAAGCGATTTTTGAGAAGTGCTGTTGAGAGTGGACAGAGCAGCTTGTAGCCAATCAGCAGGGGGCGTATACACTCATTAGGGGGGAGGTGCCTGTGTCGCATAAACGTGTTCAGGGATTTGGTGGTGAAGCTATCAAGATAGGGGTGTGTCCTTTTGGGTAAGGGTGTATTTGTTTTGGTGATTTCAAATATCAGTGTTTCTCAGAAATCGCTTACTAAATAACATCTCGTTTATGATAAGCACATAAAGAGCTCTTTAAAGTCGTCTGGATTCTGATTTGCTGAAAAAAAATCACTCTTAAGGTGATTCCAATTATATTGTTCCTGTGTGATGTAATCGTTTTAGCTTTGGTGTGGACTTCATTGCTATAGTTATTTTATCATCCTTGGTGTGAACAGTTCTTAAAGTGCCAAGGGACAGATGAATTGTACGTGTCTGTACGATTTGTGCACAGATACTGGGGACATGCGCTTTGGTCCTCCAGTGTTCTCGTCTTTTACGTCTAGGGTGCCCACTGGGCTTGTGTGGACGGAGAAGAGCAGTGATTTCTCTCTCTATTCTCTGTCAGCATTGCATCTGTGGCCTCTCTGGTCCTTTTGTCGCCTAGCAACCAGGACCTGACTTTCATTTCCTTCAGAATGTATTTGACATCAACTGATCATACAAAACTACAGCTCATGAATGACTGGCAAAGGACATTTTGAGATTCTTGCTGTGTGATTACATTCTCTGCAGAACGCTACTTAGAATGCATTCAAATATGTGAGCAGAAAGATTATGGATGTGTCCGAAGTCAGTGACATCAAAGGCAATGTTTATATATATATATATATATATATATAAATAATGGGACATGCCAAGGGTTTCAGTCTAAAGCATCATTTCATATGAAATGATCAAGAACAAATTCTTGTGATCTTGTGAGAGATAACCAAACAAATATTTAATGTCTACAAATGCCTATTGCTTGCCAGAAAAGTCATACGTTATGAATGTACCTTCATAGATTATTAACCACTCCATCAGAGACCACTTTCAGTCTTTCCACCAATCCCCGAACCACACACGCAGAACTGTGAATTATCATAGGAAGCGAAGACCTTCAAAAACCACCCAGATGAAGGCATCTTGATGATGCCTTCCTACCTCCGTATGCTACATGCAAATGCTGCTTTTTTCAGGTTTCAGACACAGCCATTTATCACTCCTTTGATAATGAATACAAACTAAAAGCAGTTCTACATGTAGGTTGCTATAATCAAGTTGGCTAGTTATTTGGTGCAACTGTCCTTATGGAAACTTCCTGTCTCTTTTGCGTTTCATCTCTCTCTCTCGCTCTCTCTGAGCAAATGGCTCTTGCTCAGCCTTGTTTGAGCAGAGTGCGTTCAGGGACTTCAGCAAAACACAGGAGACTGCTATTCTTGGCTTGAACCAGTTAAGGCTGGAAGATTCTGGGCTATAGAGAGAAAAATGATGTGATGCTGGCTAACCTTGTAGCTCTTTAGTGAGTGGAATGAGCTTTCCTTCAGCGGAGAGATGTATGCTATACTGCAGGGTAAGCCAGCAGGACTCTATCACCACTGAGACTGTAGTCTGCACCTGGCATCTTGCCTCGACAGTCACTCTACTCGCTGCATCATATCAGGAAAATACAGGAATTATTGCATATTAATATCTCAGTATATAATTATTTGTAATAATTATTAAATAAACATAACAAAAAGGTTAGTAATAATCGTGTTCATTAGTCACAATATTTTACATTAAATTGACTCTGTATTATGAGATAGTGTTCTGCCGAAATCTATAAGTAAGATTTTAAGCATTTATTTACTCTTTTGTAACACTAATTATTCAATTGAAAAGCTGTGATTACAATTATTACAATGTCTTTTAACAGGGTCCATTTGCAAAACACTCGTCTTCTATAAATAGTACTGCATGAATGTTGCTTTTTGTTTCTCTGCGTGACACCTGACCTACGCATCTGTGTGTGATGCAGTTCGATTTTGCCTATGTCATTTGACGGGCCTGCAGTCAGACCAGTCTTTATTCAGTTTGATCAGGCGTGAAGCAAAAATTATAGAGGTGACTGAATCTCAGTTCAAGGGCTACTCGCATTTCTTTAATGAAAGAACATCTGGGTGTCCTTAATGGTTGCGCTGATCTCCCTCATTTTTGGAGGGCATTGATTTAGGCAACTTTACATTATACTAGATTTAGGACACGAGGTTGGCTGCTGTAGATTATGAAAATGCATGTAATGTTCTTCAGCGACATATCAACTGCTAACCAAACTAAGTTGTTGTGATGAAAGCCTCTGTTGTGAGGACATGTTAGCGATCACTGTTGGAAAGATGTCATAGACATAATACACTAGATTACGCCTTGGCTACGGCAGTTCATTGGAAGGAATGCATTAATAGAGTCGCCATCATGGAACAGGGGAGCCTCTCCTCTTTAATTCATAAGCGTCAATGTAGGCAAAGGCCTAACGGAAATAAATTCACCATAAATTGTCATGAATGTGATTAGTATTTTTGGTTCATTCCAACGGTCAGACATGTATTTATCATTGAGTCCAGAGAAAAACCTAACTACTTCCTATATGACAAGACCCCTGTTCCGCCAAGATGGCGGCGGTTTTGACGAATGTTTAGAACTTCAAGGCGACATCTAGTGTATATATCTATGGGGATCTAAGATGTTATGAACCCATCCTAATGAGTTCCCCTATACAAACATTTACCATGGTAACCAGTTTAAAAAACCTAGTTTAAAAAAAATGGAATCTGTTTTGAACAGTGTAGAAATGATTTAAAAGCATTTTTTTTCATAAGGATCTCTGGAATGCTTGATTCTGATTGGTCAAATGCGTTATTCAGCGGTCTGATATTTCCTAATATAGAGTGCAACAGTGGCTGTCGACATTTTTTTCAGTGGTAATTTGACAATTTTGAAAATGTAAGAGTTATAAGCCATAAACCACACCAGCTTATCGAGGTGAACCACAAACTTTAATTTGAAGGAAAAACGTATCTGAAAATTGGACAAAAACACAAACTAAGAAAACTGTGTACTTAAAGACTTTAATGAGGGAAAGAACTACAATCCCATAAAGCATTGCAAATTAAATCATTAAATCAAGAACATTCCAATCCGATCTCATGGAAAGTGTTTTACGAGGGGGCGATTTCGTATGAATTTGTACAATTTGATTTGTGCAAAAACGTACGATTTTCAAACAAATCTCATTATTAAGGACCACCTGTAATCACGCCCCTAAACCGCGATGTACGAAAATGTACGAATGAGATTGTACGAATAGCCACCAATGTAAAATATAGTTACGAATTGTCGTGAGATTGTGTTGGTCATTCACAGTCTCCACTACCATGGTCAGTTTTTGTAAGGGTTTCTAGTTTGTAGAAAATCCAGCAATGCTACCAGATGACCAGTTGAATAATTTCTCACGGGTATTCGTGAATTGTAGGCTGTATGTTCTCAAAAGCTATATAGATTTAAACATTCATCTAATGCCTTATCTTGACTGTACATATGAAGTTCATTTACACAGTGTGGTTAAAAGACACCTCAGCCGAAGTCTCTCTCACAAGCTGATTTTTGCACTGCACCTTTTATGAGTTTTGCTATGACAAATGTTAAAAGAAAAGCTTTCCCAAAGATCTTGACCCACTTGCAGAATGAATGTAAAGTATTGTGTCCATGTCTACAGTTATGATCCCATCCTTACAGGCTTTCATCAGGTATCACTAATCTTTGTAAAAAATAGTTTTGTTGGAAATCAAGCTTTTGTTGTCACATCTACTGTACTTATTTAGATAAGCCGATTCATTATTCCTACTCTCAGCTGTAAAATTACTTAAAGCTAATGAAATCGTAATGCTCACAGCGGCCTTTGCAATTAGGAGACCCATTTCAAAGAAACAGTTGTAGGCCCCCCAGCCCCATGAGGGGGAAAAAAGACATTATCTCTGTTATATTTAACAATGCTATCTCATATTTCACACTAAATAGTTTATTTATAAACGCATTCTATCTATCCCTATCCACACATTCTCTCTTCTTAACCAGGGGCCGGTTGCACAAATCGCTAGTCTTACAAGTTAGTCATCCAATTTGTAACTTTTTTAAGTCAGTTGCTAGTTGGTCTTTGTAGTTCTTAACATAGTCATGGCTTAATGGCTATTTTTATGCAACTGGCCCCAGAATCGCATGAACAATCACGACCGAAAACAAAAAACAGCTTTCAAACCTTGTCACTCACAGCTCCTCGGTGAACACCTTGGAGAACTTCAGATATAATTTTATCAGCCGCAGGTGCACGATATATATATTGAAAAAATCAATTATATGTGACATTATACCCTACGGGATATAAATATTAACATAAAACTAAAACTGTCAATAGGTGCTGACAAATCATTGTCTTAACAATTGAGTCATTGAATCATTCAGTTTAACAATTCATTCAAAATGGCGGATTCATTCAGAGACAAAGCGAGAAAAGAGACTGGCTGCGTCTGAAATCGCATGCTCTCTTGAGTAGGAAATTATTTTGAATAAGCAATTACTTTATGGCCACTTAAAAACGTATGTTCTAGTATGAATGTAATCTGCTTAGCCTTCTACATGGCAATAGAAGTTCTACATTTGCCATGTTGTAATTATCAAGTGTCAGTTACGTCACTTCACTTCCATGCCTCATGGGATAGTAATGTGCACACTTTAGAATCTCGCCGGAAGTAGTAGTTCATCTGGGTATACTTTTTGGCAATTTATTTAACAGTTGATATGGTTCTTGCTAGCAGGGGGTTTAAATCCCAGTTGCACAGGTGGGGAATGGACTATTAACTGCTATTCTATACTTTTATGAATTCTATTGAGAAACATGGAAAAAAAGGTGCATAAAGACTGAGAGTCAATGTTCGGAAATTATTAATTATTATTATGTTTTGAACTGTTTTCTGGTGCGTTTGTTGTCAAACTCAAAAATGATTTTATTTTTAATTATTAAAAAAATACCATTACTTTAAATGAAAAAGTTAATAAATGTATTTTATTGAGAAAATATTTTAGATTGTCTTTTATATATTTTTATTAGATTAGATAGCATTTTAAGCTGTCATAGTCGTTACAATTTACCCCATCTATGAGGCATGTTGTCGCATTTCACTTCCATTCTTTCTGGGTATATCAAGAAAAAAAGTATATAGTATTAATAAAACAAAACCACATAATTGTACTAGACGTGGGAAATTAATGTGGGAAAAAAATACTCTGAACCACAAGAAGATTTACACAAACTGAGAAACTCAAAAAGCGTTAGGTTGTGCCCTGCTCTCCCCTGTGATTTTTTTTTTTTTTTTTTTACTTAGGCTAAGTTAGCTACTATATAGGGAAGTATGCGTGTTCAGATGCAGCCACTGTTTTCATGATTTTTACTGATACACTAAAAAATGGGGATTCATTCTAACGAATCATTGCAAACTCTCTTTCGGATGCAGCCACTGTGTTGCTCTGAGATGCGCAATCGCAATGAATCTCTTGTGGATTTGTTTGGAACTATTTTCTTTAGCGAATTAGAGCAAAAACAAAGTGCTTCCATTTTTGTCCCAAAGCCCCGTTAATTCCAACCCTGGGTGTGCACGGCGAGTGGCTGGGCTCTTTTCGAGTCGTGACTCGCGGGGACAATTGGCTATGCACACAGTTGCACTACATCCTGAACTTAAGCCAGCTTTTTTCTGTCAGTTGACAAATAGTTAATCCAGGTGAGCCTGAACAGTAGTCATGGCTTAATCAGGCTATTTTTATCAAGTTGGCCCAGAATCAGCATGAAACAAGGACTGACTTAAAACAAAAACAGCTTTCAACCTTTCATTCACGGCTCCTAGCAAACACCTTGGAGAACTTCAGTATATAATTTTAGTCAGCCACAGGTGCACGATATATATATTGAAAAAATCAATTATATGTGAATTATACCCTACGGGATATAAATAT